CTGCAGTTCCCGGTTCCGCCGCCAGGGGCGCTCGTGGCTCCAGGCCGGGCAGGCCGGGGGCGGTGATTCCCCCGCGCCGCCAGGGGGCGCTGTGGCTCGGCCGCGCCTCCCTCACGCGGTGATGGCGGCGGGATGGGGGGTGCAGGAGGGGCTGCCTTTACAAAGCCATGGGGCGGCCGGGCCCGGTGCCCTGCGGATGGCGAGATGGGCTGTGGCAGGAGCCTTGGAGCAGCGCATGGAACGGCAGAGGCGTGGGTGGGTTTGCCGGGGTGGCAAACAAAATGCAGCAGAAACTCCACAGCTGTAGCAGAGGCGCGGGGTGTCCCGGCAGGCACGGGATGCTGGGTTAAAGTGTAGCGGAAAAACCCGAAGCAATGGCAGAAAACAGCGGGGCTGGGCACTGCAAGCAGCTGCCACCTGAAGCCGGGAGCTGCTCCCTTTGGAAGGGAGATGGGGTTGGGGTCCCCTTCCCAGCGAGGGTGTTGGAAAGGTCCCAGTTTTGCGAGCAAAGTCTCACCCATGATAAGGAGAAGCAGTGCGGGACAAAGACAGTGACAGCAAATCCTCTGGGCAGCAATAGTCCAGCACCAAAACCCCACCTTGTCTGCACTCTGATCCGAGAGGGAGAGACCTCCAGAGAGCTGAGCTTCACCCCTGATCCCACAACCAAAATCTCACAATGTCCCTGCCCTGACCAAGAGAAACCCCCCAGCTACGAGACTGCAGCAAACTGCACCCCTTCCCCCTTCACTTTGTCCACATCTTTTTGACTCCCTTGAATATCTGTGTCTCGGTTTGAGAGTTACCCCAGGACAATCTGTCTTCCCATCTCTTCAGAAACAAATGGGAGTAAAATTCCATGAGAGAAAGAAAATAAAAAGGGAAAATCCTAACCTCCAACACTGGGGAAGAGAGACTTCTGGCAAAGCTTAATTTAAGCTCTTTTTTTTCTCTATTTTTTAAGATGCATCCATCTAAACAAACACGCCTTTGATGGTTGGTTTATACATTCACACAAGACATGAGTTTAAGCATCATTTTATTGCATAAGCACCAAAGAATTCATTGCTCCCCTAGCAGCAGCAGGAAGCACATGAAGAAGCCAACGTGTTTTATCAATGTTACCACCTTGCACTGTTTCTGAATTCAGCTTTCGTTTGGAAAAAGGACATGTAAACTAAAAAGTTTCTCAAACATTTCCTCAAAGAATGATAAGAACCACTGTATTCATTGATGCCCATATGTTCTAGGGCCCTATCCCTTCAGCCAGGAGCAGATAAATTTAAGGAGCAATGTCATGTTTCAGCATGGTTTTCTCTCTGTCAATGGTCTGTCCTCCCCACCTCCATCAGCAACAGTCCCAGTCATAAAGCAACGTCATTCTGCACGTCTTACACAGTGTTCATTAAATTTTTGTATTTTCTCACTACAGACAATACATTCCAATAAGAATGGGCAAAAAATAAAGGGGAGAGAGAAGAGGAGAAAGGGATGGGTGAAAGAGAACAGAGAAAGTTACAAAAAGAAAGAGAAACCCTAAATGTTGCTAAGCCCTGTTAGTCAGGGCAACAAAATCATGAGTCAGGATTATGCAAATAAATCAAGGCTGAAACTCCAACTGTAGTGGCCTGTTGCTAAAAACAAGTGGCCTTGTTTTTATTAATCTACGAGCTCTAAGTTCTCTGTTTGCATTGCAGCAGTGTGAAGGCCTCCAGAGTCAGCACTAGCCAGTACCCACTCTGTGTAAATAATGTACTGCTTTTAAATCCCCACACCCATCCCTTTCCCTGGCCTCCTCTCCCAACGCCGTCATTCTCCATCTCTGGTGATCCTGAGGAAACAATCAACATCCGTGCAGCAATTTAGCAACCCCTGACATAGGAACTCAGGTCTTTGCCCCGGCAATGGTCTTTCCAGCCATACCTGAAAAAACATATACATTATGTAATTTGAGGAGTTAGATTATGATTTAATTGGTTATGAAAACAGACTTGGTTAATCTTTGAGAGTCTTGGGTGAAGACTCTCAAAGATCCCATTGAAAAATAGGAATAACTGAAAATTACTATGAATCAATCATAATATTATCATTATCAATCTAAGCGAGCTGGGGAAAGGAGAAGAGAACAAAAAGGAGAGTTCTGAGAGAGGAAGGAAATTTAGGGAATTAGAGCAGGTGCTGTGAGACAGGATTCCGGTCTTCTCCTTTCAGCTTTAGGAGAAGGACTGTGCTAAACTCCACCAAATCCAGCTTCCCATCCATTGATCCCCCTGCCTCCCTCAGTCAATAGCAAAACCATCTTTGACCTCCTCTGCCCACTCTTCCCCAGTGTCCACTGCAAATATCCTTACCAGGGACTGAGGCCATGAGCCTCCCGAGCAATCTTCTTGGCACACCGAATATCATCCTCGATATTATCATCTAGCAGTTCTGTAGAGAAGGGAGAAAAGATCAGTGTGGAGGAAAGCGGGGCAGAGGAAGAGCAGGGACAGCTGGGCAGAAGGAAAGGTGTGTGGTTACTGTGGTGCAAAGAGAGAGAAAGGACAGCAACACACACGGAGCTCTTTGGGGGAAAAAGGCCAATTTATTGTATGGACAGCCTGTATTTAAAGTGTGTTATGTGCAGCTAGGACAGGACAGGAGCTCATTGGACAATTGGGAAAAACGTCCTTGGGACAGCACCTCAGGATGTGTCCCACGGGAAAGGCACCAGGTGTTAATTTTTATTATGAATTCCACTCTGTTTGTCACCATGTTATCACCCTGGGAGACTCCTCCCTAACTGAAGCTGCAGTCAGCTTGTCAGCCTGGGAATGGAGCCAAGAGTCAGGAGACATCCAGGCTTGAAAACGATTTCCAAGCTGTAATTCCCCAGCTCTCTAAATGTGTGTGTCCACAAAGGTGTCCATCAGGAAGGAAGGGTAGGTGGGACACTGAGAAGATGGTTGAATAGAAGGACAGATAGAAATGCCTGGAGCAGGAATGGACAGAGCAGGTGCTTTCATGGAATGGACAAAGAAAGGTTCTTCGTTCTGTCCTGCCACTTACTTGAGCAACTGATGTGGCAGGCATTCTTGGCCCCAGCAGTCTTGCCATCATTGCACCAGTACTTGCTGTTGATCTGAAAGATGCCGTAGTCCCTGCTCGGACCATTGTTATTGTACGCTTTCGTGTTGTAATCACTCTCATGTTTCACCAGGCACATCCCTGCAGGAGGAACAGACATCCCAGAGGAGAACATTAAGGTATGTTGAGGGTAAATAAGAGGAAAGAAAGCATCCAGGGTGAATGAAGTGCTGGAGAAGTAATTAAACTGGTGATATTATAACCTTGAGAATTGGATGGGTAAATTCTTGGAAGGACAAAGCTCTAGATGGGTATTTGTTGTGTGAAATAGAGAAGGGAGCAAGGAAGGAGATGAGGAAAGGAAAAGATAAAGTCAAAGAAATGGAGGGACAGAATAGTACTGCTAGAAGATCAAAAAGAAGTTGAGAAGGACAAAGATGGTTCAGGCAGAGAGGGAGCAGCTCATTATACTCACAGTCAGCAACAGTTGTGCCCTGGAAGCCCTCAAAGCCATTCCGACGTAGGATCCTCACCATCTCACATCTGGAAATTATTTTTCCCTGGATGCCTGGCAGAGCCAGGCCAAGGAAAGCAAGAAGAAAGCCAAGGAAGAGCATTGACTTTCTCATCTTGCAGTCTACAGCAAGATGTGCCAAAGCAACTGGAGCTGTCTGTCTGCCAGGACTGCCAGCAATGCCAGCCTTTTATTCCTGCTCCCAGGAGGAGGATCAGCTGGTTATGCAAGCATATCTGGGAAGTGTGGGCAGTCTTTACTGTAAAAAGCCAATAAGGAAGTGGGCCAAACTCCAAAACAAATTCCTGGAAGGTGCCAGTAGCTCTTTAACTGGTCCTTCAAGGCTGGGGCATGTGTTTACCATAGACAATGCAGCAATCCTCAGTTGGATATTATCCCAAATATCATGGATCAAGGATTGTAGTTCCCTTGTGTGAGTGTCATGGTTTAATCCCAGCAGTCTGATACGTCACTCAATCTCTCCCACCTTAGTGGGATGGGAAAGGTAAAACTTGGAAAACTTGTGAGTGGAGATACAGACAGATTAATGGGGAAAGAAAAAGCCACACATGCAAGAAAAAGCAAAATAAAGAGGTAACACACTCTTTCCCATCAGCAGGAAGATGTTCAGCCATCTCCAGGAAACCAGGGTCCACCACATTAACAGTGGTTTGGGAAGACAAACACCATCACTCCAAATGTCCCCCTCCTTCCTTCTTCTTCCTTCAGGTTTATACTTCGAGCAGGACATTACACGTGATCTGGGATATGCCATGGTCAGTGTGGGCCAGCTGTCTTGGCTGCATCCCCCATCATGGTTTAGGAATAATATTCCCCAATTTAGTACTCACATTAAAAAGAATACAAGCTGCTCCCCTCACCATCTTCGATTCCAGGTTGAGATAAAAAAGAATTCACTGGGAATGGCAATGAGTTAAGAATCGACCATGAAAAATGTTCATGAATAGAACCTCCCATGAAAGAGGTGAAGAAGGAGTAGACAACTTTATGTTCTTAATTCATCTTTTTACTATCTCTTCTAAAATATCTCTGGACAATAAACTACATATGATAGAAAGAAACCTGATTTATTGTGTTTTTGTTTACATGGACTGTATATTACAAGCCATGGCAGATCACTGGACATTAACTTGATTGGTCACTAGCTCAAGATGGCTGCGTTTGACATCAGTTTTCTGTCTCCTACTGTATGCATCCAAAAGCTCGAGAAAATAAGCATAAGAAAAAATCTTGAAAGGTACAAATAAAAAGAGACAATGGTTATCAAAGACATAAAGCTAAGAAGATACGGCACAGCTGAGTAGCAGGAGTCACTCGTATTGGCATGTCTGCTGAAGAAATAACAAAAAGTGACTGTGCTGGGTGTAGCTGAGGTAATTTCCCTGCCAGTGACTGTCATGGGGCTGTATTTTGGATTTGTGCTGAGTGTAGGACTGATAATGGAGATGTTTTTGTTATTGCTGAGCAGTGGTCACACAGAGCCAAGGCCTTTTCTGCTTTTCCTACTGCCAGGCTGGAGAGGGGGCTGGGGGTGCATGGGAAGCTGGGACAGATGACCCAGAGTGACCACAGGCACGCTCCAGACCATGGACATCACACTCAGTATAGAAAGTGGGGGGCAGGAGGAAGGAGGGGAGGAATGTTTGCAGTGATGGTGTTTGTCTTCCCAAGTCCCTGTTACATGTCATGGAACTCTGCTCTCTGTGGGATGGCTGAACACCTGCCTGCCCATGGGAAACAGGGAGTGAATTCCTGATTTTGCTTTGTTTGCCTGTGTGGTTTTTGCTTTCCATATTAAACTGTCTTTATCCCAACCCATGAATTTTCCAGCTTTTACCCTCCTGATTCTTTCTCTGATCCTGCGGGAAAGGGAGTGAGGGAGTGGCTGTGTGGGGCTTGGTGGCTGCCTGAGGCTAAACCACAACATTGGTTGACAAACTCAGGATGTAGGAAATATATTCCTTTTGGATATTTTCACGTTTCTCAGTCCTTGAAAGGGTCCTCTATGATTTATTTCCTCCTTAGCTCCAAAGCAAGTTCTTTATCCTTTCATACAACAATGCTCCCAAGAAGAAAGGATTGAGGATTAACAGAGTATTTTTGGGAGGGGGGGGTTGAATAGAAGAGCTTCTTTATTCTTCTCTAGCAGTCATAGAGGACATTGGCAAGATAAATGATTTCATTGGCTTCTTTACATATTATTATGTCAACTGACATCACACCTAAATTGAAGGAAATTGTGCAAATTCACCTTTGCAGTGAATTCTAGAGAAGAAAGGAATACCTCTACAACCCTCTAGCTCAGTGAGGTGCTTATAGGGAATTCCTCTTGTTGGAAATAATACCAAGTTTAATTTTTTTTTTTTTATCACTTTAGTCAGGGGTATTGTTTGCCTTTGCCCAAATGGAAAGGAATGGAAGTTTCTTTTCAAAGGACTGTTTTACCACTCTAGGCCTGATGAGCTTAACATCTCAGCAGGCTGGGGGTATCACAGAAGATACACAAAACATAATGACCATCAACAACCATGAACAACCATCAGCTCCAAACATCACCCATGGCATGGTCAGAGACACCTGGTCTGGGAAAAGGTAGATAAAAGATAAGAATAGGACCTAATTAGCATCAGAGGTGAAGAGATGTGTAACCAATAAGAAACCAAATACTAAGAACTGCTTAACTTGGAACCAATGAACACTGAACCAATGTATCTCTATGGGATTTAACTGTATAAAGTTTGTGAAAAATCTGGTAAAATTCATGTGTCATGGAATGATTTTTCTCTGCACAACCCGGACTATGTGGACGAAATTATTTCTGTTGCAGAACAGCGTCCTAGCCAGAATGAAGTAATGCATTGGTTCTCTAACACTAAAAATGTTGTTGGAGACTTTTTGTTTTTCCCACAGTGTCAGTGATGACTGTGGTTTATTCTAGACAAGTTTTTATTGTTTCTGGGAAAGGGATCTCCTGCACTAAGGCACTTTTACAACGTGTTGACTGAAGACTGAAGTTTGTTCAGTGTAAAATTTCAGTGCTTGGCTTTACAATAGAGTAAATGGCTCTGAAATGAGTGACAGGTATTATAAAATTTGTAAATAACTATGAAATATGTATTTGTTATTTTATTTACCCTTGAATAGTCCAGAATTTGTTTCCAAGGCCCACTTTGTATAGAAGGTTGAGCTTTTTAAACAAAATTTTGCACAACTTTGTGACTTGAAATTCAATTGTCAAATAAGATTTAAACTTGAAGTCTTTTAGGAAGTGGAAAAAAAGAGGCTCATATTTCCAACAATAGCTTTCCTACATTTTTTGAAGAAAGAGTGGGAATTCTTTGGGGAAATGTAAGACCTGAATAGCTTTTAGTTGCAGCAGGGTTCACTGCTCAGCTGTGGCTCATTCTGTGCCACAGTTTGAAGTTGTGTTCATTACCAGTCGCTGGTGCTTCCATGTAGGATTGCTTTAGTTGTCTGATTCATAAGAGGAATGACAATTACACTTGTTAGAGCTTTTGCTGCCAGGGACTTCCCCAGAATCTCAGACTTGAAACTCAACTGAGTAGACTGAGCTACTTCCTTACACTGGTCATGTGGAAGAATATTTGTTCTCTGAGTTGATTTATTTTTTGCATGGGAGTACTAAAAATATTAATACCTCATGTAAAAGTTCTGATTTTTTTTTTTTTTTATTTGAGACTCTGGGTTAAGGGGAAGAATGAAGATAATGACATAAATAAAATTGTTACCAGATGATAAATGGCCTACACCTGGTGAGCTAACACAAAGCTTGTTCTCCAGAATGACTGGCCAATGTAAACTGCACAATGCCCATTGCATAAGAGGGAGAACTGGAAGGTCACCAGCCTCAGTGTCCTGCCAACTCAGCCAGGTCACCTGGAACATTGGGGTCCACAATCACCAGGGACACCAGAGAAACCCCAGGACAGAAGAACACATGGGTAAAGGGGAATGGAAATATGTTAATGATTTTGGGGAAAAGATTATCATATGTATGTTTAGGCCAGGACAATCAATTAATATAAACAGAAACTTTCCTGTAGTCAACATGCTCAGCTTTGGGAGGAGCTATCTGCCTGTGCATCCAGCTGAATAAAGGATGCCTGCTTCTTAATGCTGCATTGGTGTTGAGTTGTTTTATTTTACTGAATTTTTGGTAACAAAAAAATTAAATCCCTAGTCCTAGATTGTCTTAATTGACAATAAAGCAGCACAAGATTGCTACAAAGGGGTTTGCAGAGAATTCCTAGCTAAAAGTCGTGTTCCATAAGTCTGATGAAAAGCAGCTGAGGGAGCTGGGTGGGGGCTCAGTCTGGAGAAAAGGAGGCTCAGGGGGAACCTTGTGGCTCTGCACAACTCCCTGACAGGAGGGGACAGCCGGGGGGGTCGGGCTGTGCTCCAGGGAACAGGGACAGGAGGAGAGGGAACGGCCTCAGGCTGTTCCAGGGGTGGCTCAGGGTGGACATGAGGAGGAATTTCCCCATGGGAAGGATGGGCAGGGCTTGGCAGGGGCTGCCCAGGGAGGTTTGCAGTCCCCATCCTATCCTTCCTAATTTACTGCTTACAGTTCTACTGATCAAACAAAGGTTGAAGTACAATTCCTGGGGCCTACAGCTTTATTTATTTTAGTCAATAGTGCTAGGCTCTGGCACAAATGAGTCTCTCACTATACATCCATGGTCAAGGAGTAGAGGTTTCCATGAATTCTACCATTGTCTTAAACCCTGGACTTGTGGCTTCCCCTCTGTTTCTGGGATAGGATGTGTCAGGGGTACAGAAGAGATGGGTTGGAAACAACTGGTAGAATCATAGAATCGTAGAACCATGGAACCTCTGACATGGAAGGGACCCCTACACCTCTCTGTCCTGCCTACCCCTCCTGAAGAGCCTGTAACTGTCCAGAAGAAACAGGCGAGGAACCTTTGGGTAAAGAACCTTCTCCTTCTCCTTCTGAGTGAAGAACCTTCTGGGTGAAGAACCAGAACCCAGATTGTAGTCAGGTACTGGAACAGATTCCCCAGTGAATTGGCTACAGCACCAAGCCAGCTGTCAGACACGTGGAGGGGTTGTTGGGGTGCTCCTGTGCAGGGCCAGGAGTTGCATTTGGATTCATTGATCCTTGTGGGTCCCTTTGAACTCTGCAGATTGTGTGATTCACACAGAAGGTTTTTCACCCAGAAGGTTCTTTACCCAAATGATTCTTTACTCAGAGGGTGGTTGGGCACTGGGACAGACTTCCCAGAGAACTGTCATAGCACTGAGCCAGCTGTCAGACACATGGTGTGGGTGTTGGGGCTGTCCTGTGCAGGGCCAGGAGTTGGACTTGATGATCCTTGTGGGTCCCTTTCAAGAGGGGATTAAATAATTCTATAATTCATAATATTTTACCTAAAACTCACCTAACAGTCCCACATGAGTCCTCTAAAATCAACATTGGGCTGCCACATTATTCCCCCCTTTTTCCTTCTTCCCCCTGCACTGTCTTATTTTTCTGCATTTTCTTCTTTATTTATCTGGGCCCTTGGTTGAGCCTTTCTGGTTTTCCATCTTTCCATGAACCTTCACTCGGTAAATGCAGGTATACCATGGGTTTCCCCAGTTGCTCTTCACAAGAAGCTTGACATGTGAAAAGGCTCTGGGGAGCAGCATGTTCTGTGAGGAGGGAAAAGGGGGATATTAAAATCAACAGTGAAATAAACATGTCTTCCACTGCCAGCCCTGTTTCTGCTCAGGAACAAGCTCCCAAAAGTAGCTGGGAGAAGCAATAGAGATTTGAAGCTGCTGAAGGTACTGGGGCTGCTGGGGAGGCTGGGGGCAAGGGAAGGCATTTGGCATCCTCTGCATGCTGGCCCAGCTGTGGCTGCATCTCCTTTCCCTCTGCCCCTTGCTCTGTGCTGACAGCGGGGCTGGGGATGTGCTACTGTGCATGGGGCTGGTGTGTCACCCCACCGGTGTGTCACCCCCCTGGTGTGTCACCCCCCTGGTGTGTCACCCCCCTGGTGTGTCACCCCCTGGTGTGTCACCCCACCGGTGTGTCACCCCACTGAGCCCCTGCCATCCCCCCTGCCTGCCTTCCTCCTGACAGACTGGGAGCAATGGGAGAGAAGGGACGTGCTGTGCTGGGGTGACACTGTCCAGCTTGTCAGCAGAGCACAGAGTGGAACAACAGTGATGCCTGGTGGCTTTTGCCACCACTTGTCCCTGTTTCTCCACGGCACGAGGTCTGTTTGTTGTTTGGGTGCTGTAGCTGTATGTGCATCTGGCTTTTCTGAAGGCAGTGGCTGCAGCCAGGGATCTCTCAGGAGCTGTGTTGCCACGGGCCTCACCCTGTCCTTTGGCTACCACAACCACGTGCTACTCAGCCCTCCAAGCCCCACCAGGTCTCTTTCATGATCCTTTTGCCCAAGGAGGAAACATTCACACCTTCCCTGCCATGGACTTGCAAGCAAACCTGTTTTGCTCCCTGGCATCCGGCCCCCCATGTGTGGAGCATACCTTTAGAGGGAAAGTCTGCATGGGGTCTTCTTCCACATTGTAGGTGAACATCCCCAGGAGGGTTTCCTCTTCTCTGTCTGCATCCACTCCCTTGGGAGCAAAGCACAGGGAGAGCAGGTCAGGCTCATCCCGACAAAGAGGGAATGTACAGGCTGGATCAGCCCTCTTATGTAGCCAGCCTGTCCCAGGGCCCTGGCAGTATCTGGTGTTGGTTAGGGTAGAGCTCAGTCTCTGCTTTGGGTTTTGGTCAAGAGCCCTTAGGTGCTTGGCCAGAACGAGTCCTAGGAAGGATGGACCCCTCAAGCCCTTGAAGTGTCGTGCTGAGCACAGCAGTGCTCAGGAGATGCAGGACACAAAGCTCAGAGGATGCACAAAAGCAAACAAGACCCTGCCCTGACCTCTCCTAGGGCCACATCCCCACCAGAAGGGCCCAGCAGACTTACAAAGACAGCAATGTCTTTGGGGGCACTGATGACAGTCCCACTTGGAGAGACCTCTTTGGTGATGTGCTGCACTGTGATGGCAGTCAGGTAGACTCGTGCTGGCAACCTGATGACAACCTGGCCCTGATGCCCTTTGAAAGCCCAGCAGTTTCCTGGGAAAACATTTGGCTGCAACAGAACACAAGAGCAATGATGTGTGGGCAAACACAACTGCCCACATGGCTTGAAGCGTTGGGGCTGACATGTCTGTGGGCTCTATTTCAGCTTGAAAATACTGGGCATGTGAGGAAATGACAGAAGCAGAAGGACTTCCCTGCCTGCCAAAGTGGGCTCAGCATGGCAGAACAGAGAATAATGGTTATGAAACCACCCTAGTCAGGGACAAGCAGAAACACCTCTGCCCAGGGATTATGTAGGGCATCCCCCTCCTGCCTCCCACACTGAAAAGCAATTTTTAGGGTTGGCAATGCAGACAGGGTCACCAGGTAGAAATAAAGCCTTTCAGGCAGCTGTGGCCAGGGACTGTGGGCAGAATGCAGCAGTGCAGCTCAGTCTGGCTCCACTCCTCTCCAGAGAGGAATCCCTGCTTCTCAGCAAGCCCAGCCCTGTGTTCCACCTTTGGTTTCAGGAACCCAATCTACATTTGACCACTACCACTGGGCTGAGGGGAGAGCCCCTGAGAATGGTTTCCAAATTCACAGGAGGGAAGAAAACAGATGATTTCTGCTAAGATACCTGCAGAATAGTATCAGGAGGGCTGGCAGTCCAGAAGAAACGTAAAATCCTGCAGAGACAACTGTCCTTGCAGTCGTAGGTCTGGGAAGTTCTTTGTGTGTCAATGGTGGCTCCTGTAAGGAAAGGAGGGCAAATGGCTGCAAGCAGCTAGAGACTGGCAGGGTTTGGTGCTCAGATACCATTTCTGATGCCACTGGCCAGCTCCATGTCCTCCTGTCCTGTCCACATCACGCTGCCCTGGGGGGTGCCCAGCTGCAAAGGGCAATGACAGCAGCCACATATCTGGGGACTGCCTCTCCCACAGGGCTATGAGTGCTGGGAGGAAGCAAAGGACAAGCCAGCCATTCCTTCTCCATGTGCAGTGGAGAGGAAGAGAGCCCCTCCATCTGCACAGGATCGTTGTCATTTCTGTGCCATCCTCGCAGAAACCTGTGTGGGGGCAGCCCCAGTCATCCTTGTGGAGGCAGTGGACAGGACAGACCAGCACAAGGCAAGGAGCCCGGGCTGCTTGTGTCCTTACCAGAGCTCTTAAGGGCCCAGTCTGTCTTGACACAGGATTCCAAAGCCATCTGGGTGAATTCCTGGGAAAGCCATGAGCAAACAGGAAAGGTGAACATCAGGAAAGGACAGTTCAGCACGCTGCCATCACCCACAGAGCAGAGCTCAGTGTCAGCCATGCATGGCAAGCCATGGCCACAGAGCTGGGACACTGTGCTACCCACAGAGCCACGAGCACTGAGGAACAGCATCTGTGGCCACAACATTCTGACCCCACCAACAATACCAAGGACAGATTTCTTGAGGGTTCTGCCCAGCCAAGCCTCTTTCCCCAAAATGGCAGGGTCACCTTCAAACTACTGATCTCCGCCCTCAGATGAGTGACCTCTTCCAGCAGATTCTGCAACTTTTGGGTTTCAATCAAAGTGTGTGAATTCCTGCAGGAACAGAAAAGCAGATCTTGTCAAAGCATTCCTCCTGTAAAGCACCTTGGCTCAGTGATGAGACTTTCCCTGCTTTGCCAGTGCTTTTTTCCAGTCCAAGATGAGCGAAAGGCAAAGGCAGGACAGAAATACAGGAGCCTTTGCTGTTTGGAAACTGAACAAAGGTACAAGGTTAGCTGATAATGCTGCACAGACACAGTTCCATTTCAGGAAATCTCTCTTACCAGAGGGTTTTCAGTCCTGGTGGAAATACATTTGGCAGGTCCTGAAAAAGAGAAAATACTCCATGAGAACATCTACTGCCAGAGCCACCGTGGCTTCCCAGGGAACACTACACAATCTGCTTCTTCTTTGGGTCATGCTGTGTAGGAGCAGAAGAGCCTCAGATTTATCCAGCCACCATCAGCAACACTCCCTTGCAGGAGGTGCCTGTCCCACAACAGTCACTGACCTCCATGAGTCCCTTTGTCCACGGTGACCATTGTGACAGGGCAGTCCCGCAGAGAGCAGCAGCTGCAATTCACATCACCGAGAGTCACTGCACTGGGTTTGCAGCAAAGCCTGAGAGCCCACTGCCTGCTCCCTGCTGCCTTGGGCCAGGCAGCAGGTTAGCTGAGGGCTGTGGAATGTGGGCTGTGGAATGGGGGGTGCAGAGATAGGATGCAGCTCTGACCGAGGGCCATCAGCACAGGCTTCAGGGGACATGGCAGCATGGTGTGCAGTTGTGCTTGTTGCCCCAGTTGTTTTCCCTGTCTCCCCTCACTTCAGTCAGCACCAAGACCAGGCTGAAGGGTCGGCAGAGGTGTCTCCCCACCCCTTCCCTTGCACAGCCCCTCCTCTCTGGGCATCCCCAGTTCAGCTCTGGAAATACCTGTGCCCTTCTCTCAGCTTTGCAGCAAGCCATTCAGTCCAGTGGCCAGAGCAGTACATGGCTGTGAGACTACCTGGGAGTCTTCCCAGTGGTCCAAAAGCCAGTCCCAGTCAAGGGCACACTCAGGAGGCACTTGGGCCACAGGAGTTTCCACACATAATGGCCCTGAAGGAAAGCTGGTATCCAGCACAGCCAGGCTGTCACTCTCAGTTGTTTGCTCATGAAAACTCACCAAGAGCCACTGAGAGCAGCAAGGTGAAGACTTTTAAGCTCTTCTTCAGCAGGACCATCTTCTGCCTGGAAGAGAGGGAGTCCTGGGGCTGTCAATTACCCAAGCCTTAGGCAAACCCCTTCACATCAAGGAAGCACGGGTGCTTTGCTGACTTGGGCCCCAGAGCTCTCCCACACTTGCATGGTCTCTTGCCAAAGCTGGGGAAAACCCCTCCCCTGCAGATGCTGAGCTCTCCCCTGCCTGCCTGGCTATGCAGCAGTTTGTCCTTCTGCAGCCAAAGCTGGAGGCTCTGGCTCTGGTGTGCCAGTGGCACTGCCAAGGGGAGTTGTTCTTGGCTCTGCCTGAGACTGATCACAGCAACAAGCAGTGCTCAAGCTGCATTGCCCAAGTGGGAGCCCTGGGCTGCTGGTGAGGGAACACCCTCTGCTCTCCCTTTAGCTTGCACCGGCCCTCAGACATTCCCATCCTGCTCCCTGTCCACAGTAGAAACATGTAGTATGTGCTCTGTGAGGATGGCATGGGCTCAGAAAATTTCCCCCTGGGGAGACAAAGGCACCTGCCAGTTGCCAAATAAACCTGAAGAACATCGTTTGGAAAAGAATCCAGAGAAAAGTTATGCCTGTCACTTGAGTCTTTTCTGTTCTTCACCTGGGACCCGTCCCCACAGAAAGGAGACTTCACACATCACAGGGCTGGTCTTCAGAAAACCTCTCAGCCTCCCCATGCTGCTGCAACCCCACTGACAACCACATCCATCCTACTGCTCCCAACCTGACACCCTGGGCAGGAGCAGCCCACTTCATATCAGCTCACTGGGCAGTTGCTGAGCTCCCCAGTCAGCTCTGCCAGTGGTTTGGAAGGCTCAGAATGGTTTGTCTGGGGAGCCTTTCTCCTCCCCATCCCTCTGTGCTCAACTCTACCTCCTCAGCTGCAGCAGGAGGTGATGGCTGCCCAGTGCCACAGCCACACAGCCACTCTGGCTTCTGTCCCCATGCCACAGGGCTGTGCAGGCAGTTGCTCTGACCTCACAGCCATGGTGGCTCTGCTTTCACAATTGGGGTGCCCAGGGTGACAGCCCTTAGCAGCTGTGCATCTGTACATCCCCATTTGGGTTTGCAAAAGGCAGTGCTGGGAGTCTGCCTTAAGGTTAGACAGTTCATCCCACCACCTAACTAGTTCTATATACACCTAAGGAGTTATATATCAACAAGCAGAGGGCCAGGCATCATAGAATCCTCATGCAGGTACAGGGTGGTTTGGATTGGAAGCTGTTTTAGTTTAGGATAGGATAAATTTAGTTTAGTTAGGATAAATTTGTGAGGAAATAAATACCTGGAATAAACTCCAGTAGCTTTATAAACTTTTTATAAATCATTATCACTGAGCTCAGCACAATAGCTATTTTAATTCATGTTCCTTTACTGAAAAAACTGCATGTTAGGGACACTACTGGAGCCCTCTGGGGATAAGAAAATAAGCCCAGAGACCAGAAAGGTATTAAAATCTCAAAAAAGCCTAGAGACCCGAGACCCATAAAGGCCTCCACCCTGACAGACACAACAGACATTATGAATTTAAACAACATGGTTACTGACTGCTTAACCCCAATACAGAGTAAGTATAACCAAAATGCAATCACAACAGGGTTTTTTTTCCACTTTCTCAAGCCACGCGTTGGGCACCAAAAGTATTTGTCCTGGTTTAGGACAAATTTGGGAGGAAACCTCTGAATGAGGATTTTTTTGGAAAAAAAATATAAAAGATCTAAGTAGTCCTTCTTTCAGTTGGCTTGGGGGGGAAAAAAATTGGAGAGAAGTGGAAAAAAGAAAAACTGTTTATTTAACAGGCAACACACCTTTCAGCACAAAAATGAACAATATCAAACACAAAACTTTTCGCCATTTTGAAGAGATGAGAGATTTAGAAGAGTTCTTTCCTTGGGCTCACTCAGTCTGCTCTCAGTCCCTCCTGTGCTGGGGAATGCCCAGGCCAGGCCTGGTGGGCCACAGGTGTGAGCTCCTGGTGCTCCTCTGGGTTTTCAGTCCAGAGCAGGTTCAAACAGTTCCAGGAAAACAGAAAAAGAAAAAAAAACAATCCAGGGGGGCTTCTCTGCCTCAGCTAGCCAAAAACTAACCAAGAGCAAAGGAGAGCTCTCTCTCACTGTCCACTGCAGACAACACAGTCCGAGTGCAGGAATGTGGGGGAGCCAGTGCAGTCTCTGATAACAAACTCTGCACTTCTTCTTCCCCCCCCGCCCTTTCACTCCTGGAACCAGTCTTAAAGTTGCAGAATTTAATATTCAACACCAACAGAACAGGCGATTTGGGGATACAGGCATTGTACAGTCACCCCAAGCCATAAGCACACTGCAGGGCCATGCATGGCTGAACTCTGGGAGTTATTGCAGTTCAGCCTCTGCAGCACCAGGGCTGCCACTGGCACACAAAGGGAGGCTGCCCCTGAGCTGGGGCCTACTGACCTTACAGTAATGGAACCACACACCCTGCAGTGTGTGAAGCCCAGCTCCTCACAGCTCTGTGTGTGAAAGACAGACTTTTGATGCCCAGTGAATAACTTGGCTGTGATTTTCGGGTTAGAGCAACCATACCTTTCCTATCAGTTTCTGTTATCTATAAAAGTTTATTGCTGTTGTCTTTGCTGGACAGAAGTATTAACTTGAGCTTGTTTCCTCTGTTGTTCCTGCTACACTCCCAGGTTGTGGGAAATTTATAATCTCCAGGAATTCTAACTTCTGCCAAACTGGGCCTGATCATAGTGCCAAAATCATTACCAGAGAGAGGGGATGCACAAATAGTGCCATTGCATTAATCTTGTTTCCTGCCACAATAAAACATCCTTAACATCTCATTTCTTCTCCTTTTCCTCCTCCCAGATTACCCTCAGTTCCATTGAGAGATTTTTCTCTTCTGGATTATAGCCTGGGCAATACCACCCCACTCAGACCTGGTGTTGTATCCAATTTGTTCTCCAAGAAAAAGGAACCATAAACACATGGCCTCTGTTGCCTCCCTTTCCCTTGCAAGTTGCTGTAACCTGCTCTGAAAGGGATTGTGTTGATGGAGGGCAAAGACAGCACTGACTGATGGGTCACACAGTGCTGCTGCAAGGGAAGCCAAAAAGGCCTGATGGGCAAGCAAAGGAGATGTGCAGGAAGGCAAGCTGGCAAGAACCCAGCTTCAGGCCTCCTACTGATAAACCTGTGCTGAGAAAGTGAGAGGACCAGGCTTTGCCAAATGCAACCACAGCAACTGGAACAGACCCATCTGGCATTTCTGATGGGGTATCCAACAAAATCTGCTCATGTCTGCACCACGGTCTTACATAACTGAAGAAAGGATCAAAAAGCCAGGAGGGAACCCAAGATCTTTGCCCAAAGCTGGTAAGAGCTGTCACTTCTGCCCATCTGCTTAGGAACTCCAGCTGCTGCTTGGACACCAGTGTGGCAGGCATCCCTCATCCCAGAAGAGCTGGTGTCTTCTGGCAGGACTCCTCCCCACCACAGGAGAGCTGATCTGTTCTGTCCCATCAGCTGCTGCCACAGCTCTGGGCATTGTCCCCCATCACAGGAACTGATGAGCTAGCCCAGGCTGGCCTGTCTGACTGTGTTTGTCTCTGGCTAGTGAGTGATCTCTCTCTGGCACCAGGGGTGGAACTCCCAGCTGACAATAAACAACTGGCCTGGAGAAAAGGATGTGGGGATATAAGCTGGAATTTCTGAGTGACAGACACTTCACTTTACAAACTGTAAAAGCTACACAAACCTCCATGGATGCAGAAGTCTCATACACACCTTGGAAACTTCTCCAAGGACTTCTCCCCAGAGTCTGGACACAAATTCCACAGGTATTTTCCCAGGAATTGAGTGCAAGGACCTTATCAATTTGATGCTAAGTTGCATTGACTCCTAATCTATACTATTTCTCGACTAGCTGTAATGTAGGTACCTTTTTATCTACTAGTAGCTGGTTTTGTTTCATCCTGTGTAGTAAGCAGTCTGTTTAAAGTCCTAAGTTAATCTTGTGTCTATTCAATAAATAATTCATTTTGCAATAGACCTAATTGGTTATTCTTAAGAACTTGCAAACGAGAGACATTTGGGGTGCAGGCCACCTCAAACAGAGCTACTGCCAGAAATCTGAGTCACAGACAGGACTCGTCTAAGCTCTCATCTCCATTTGTAACAACCAGTCATGTGCTTACCCTGAGTTTTGTAATTAGAAGAAAAGTCTCCTGTCTATTGAAAAAAAAAAAATTTGCAAATACATGAATATAACCAGTAACAGAGAGAGATGGCAACTGAGTTCCCAAGGCAGTTTTATAAATATTGCTGTGGTGCCTCTTATGGATGCACTTGACCCTCAGCTGTGCTTTGGATCAGGTCAGCTATGGAGCAAGAGGCCCCACGCCCCGTGGTGGATCTGCAAGCTAGAAATTCCCTGGCTTGGGTACAGGGAAGTGATTATGCTCACACCATGTGGTGGGCCTGGGAGCTGGAAAGTTCCTGGCTTGTGTACAAGGAAGTGAAAGTGCCTTGGAAAAATATTTTTAAAAGTGGTTTCAAAGCTCAAAAGTGGAAAATAACTGAAGAAGACACAGAAGAAGATAACAGAACTAAAACAAAGACATCTATCTTCTCTAAACTACTGACTAACAGCCAGCTACTTCACTCTCCAAATGTTACCATCGGGATAAGCCAAATTTGAGCTGTCCCTGAGTGGCAGCATACCTGGACTGCATACCAGGGACTGTCCCCTTGAACTGGAGCACCACTCAAGGTTTCAGATCCCTTATCTGAAATTAAGAGGTCCTTCCATGCCCAAGGCATTCCTTAGTTACAACAGATCCTCACTAAGTGACTGATGGCATGCTGAATTAATAAAAAAATCTATGTAGCTGTTCAGTATTAATTATTATAAATATAGATAATTCCATTAAACATAAACCATTGTCAAAATCTGAGGCTAAGATTAGACCTAGCTGACTCTAGGCTTTATGAGGAGGTTAGAAAGCAAGGGGGTCCACTCTGAACCTCATTGCAAGGCTCTTCCTTACCCTTGCAAAGCTTCCCTAGGGAGCTGCTCTCTTGTGCTTCCCTGTCTTCTCCTCCTCAGCTTTGGAGGGAGAAGATCATGAACTGAAACCCAGAATGGT